TTCAGAATGCAAATTTCAAGGGACTGGTGCGAATATGTTACTTTTATACATTTAATAGTAATATAAGGTCATTGAAAACTAAATTTATTTATTGCCCTCCAGAAAATGTGGTGCATTAATTACTCTAGAAATGTCAACGATATGAAAAGAGAAGAGCATGTGAAAAAGGGCTATGATGAATGTGTCCATTGTGGACGGTGCCATCATGCTCAGTATGAAATCCTCGTCTTTTATAAACTTGTTTGCCAAGGTTTATCATAACTAACTTTTGTCCTAAATAAAGGTTCCCAAGTGAAAAAGAAGAAAAAAGTTAAGAGGTTACAAGCCAAAATAGCATAATGAGTCTTAATCTTTATTAAAATTTTAAGATCTTTAATAAAATTTTGGCGTCACAATATTTGACTTGAGTTTATCACCTTTCATAGTTAACTCGCTTTCACTCCACACACCTTCAGAAAGAAAGGGTAACTTTGCTTTCCTGGTTTCTCATATGCCACGAAGCTAGCAAAAATTATTTTGCATGTAAATAAAAATGTTGTATCCTAATAATTAAGGGTCTATATATATATATATATAGGTCACAATTATTTCATGTCCTGAAATTTCGTTGCAGTAAATATATTTTAGCAGAATCCTATGCTGTTCTAATAAGAAACTTGGATTTCTAAAATAATAGTGATACATCATTATTTCAGGATGACAACACAGTTTCTGATATTGAATTTTTAAAAGGGTATGAACCTTAATTTTATATAAACAATGTGTAGCCATGTTTGGGTATTGAAAGAAATGGAATTGAAGGCATACGTTCATTTAATCAAGTACATTACATTCTTACTCGATTAATGCTACCTTTCTCATTCCACTCAATAAAAACATTAAAAGATAGGGACGAAGTCAAAGTTAAAAAATAGTGACTGATGTCTTTTTAGTTTATTAAAGTGACACATAATTTGGAATAAGTTAAAACAAGTGATAATTGCTTTAAAAAAGCAAAGGAAATAAATTATTAACATATGACTAATTAATGGCTAAGTGGAAATTGATCCTTCTTTTTTTCTTTTTTTTTGTTAAACTTTAACATGACAAAAGTCGTATCTGAATCATATATGTTTCATACCAAAAATAATGCAAAATTCAAATATAACATATTTCTTAAATTGGACATAAGAAAACTCCATTTCTTGACAAACTAATACATTAATGTAACAATTACTATCATAATTAACAATGTACCAATAATTTAATAGACAAGGGTATCAAACTGGATATTCAGATGAAATATCTAAAGGTTTATTTAATTTTTAAAAGGTACACAAATAAGGCGTATATACCTTGATGGATGTGTAACACATTCAGGATAAATTAACAGCTATTTATTAAACTTATTTCATAATAAATACAACTATTTTATTAAATATAGCCATAAAATAGTTGACAAGTTGCTTTAAGAAGCGTAATCAACAAAAATACAAGAATAGTTAGTCATATCCGTTCCAAAAACACCTAATATCTCTGCTAGTAAACTTTATGCATAAGTCTCACTAATGACTCACGAAGAAGTAAATGATGCTACTTTTGAAAATCAACCTTGTTTTATTCAAACTGGGAAATGCTTAAATTGTTGCTATAATTGACCCGTTCCATATTCTAACCTTTTTCCTATTTACAACTCCATATTTGACCACTTTTAATAATGAACCCAATGATCTTTTTCGAAGTATTTTCACTCTCTTTCTGGTATTAATTTTGAGTCTTCCTATTATTTTCTAGTATTAATTCCCAATGTGCTTCTTTGCAAGTTAGGTTGATTTACACGCAAAAAATGCAACAACCAAGGTATTATTTTATGTGAGACAAACCCAATTATTTGTCAAAGATAATGCCGTTAGAGTTACGTTGCACACATCATATATATATTTCTTGAAATTCAGACTTAGATTAAAAATATATACTAGGAAATTAAAGGAAATAGATAGAAGAGACTTACCAATCTGAACTGAATTAGAATTTTTGAATCAAATTTTTTTATCTTATCTATCTATCCAAATTAAAAATGCTTTCCAAAATTAAATGAGACAACAAAATTATCACACATTTATTGTACAAAAATATATACCTTTTGCCAAAACTGCACTCCGAAATTTGATTACATGTTCATCAGTACAAAATCTCTCATAATTTAACATTCTGTACTAATTAAATGATTCTATTTATTAATATTTAAAAGTTCAAAAGTGTTTTCTTAGCAACACATCCAATATCATCGTTACTTTTATAAAAGTGTTTTTCTTCAAACTTATTTGACTAAAATTATTTTTATAAAATCAAAATAATTTTAAAAGATGTTTATAAACATTTATTCACGACATAAACAAAGCCACAACAAGTTAAACTTACAATAATTAAGTTTGGTTAAAAACTCGTGACAAATTGTCTAAAGTATTCTCATCTACATGCATGGAGGTATCATGGTCAAAGCATTACTCAGATTATGTACATTTCATTTTTTGAGTAATGTTTCAATTTCAAATATTGTATACACAAAATAACCTTTCTTAGGAAAGTTAATTTCTCTTTACTCAAATAAAGTTATATACTTATAACATAAAAAAAATATTTATAATAGTACCAGTGACTAATTTAATCTATAGTATTTATTAATTAGTTAATTTAATTTCTAAATTTGATGATTATTAGTCATTTTATTTTATTTTTGTTAGAGATTAAATTGATTAATGTACATTAATTTTCTTTAATAATAATATCAAGACTGAATTAGTTTGTAATTATGAAAAAAAATGTATTGTTTATAATATTGAAATTAGTTATCCATTCATAGATAGGTTCCAAATAAAATATGATGAAATGGTTTTAAGTTGCCTTTCCTTTTACCCATAGGGTTGAAAATAGAAAGGGATATGTGAAAGGGAGTTCAATAGCTGAAAAGAAGCAAAAGGGTGAGCAGTTGATTGAATGGAATCACGAGACGAAGTGAGAGTAGGCTGAGTAGTTGACCCACTAAGCACCATAACTACACACTACCCTCTTTGTCAATTAATTTTTGTTAAGGTGTTTGAATACAAATTAATAAATATTAATCTTTTATTAAAAATATAAGATTTAATATTATTCCTATATTTTAAATTTTTAAAAACAAATTACTGATATTTTCATTTTAATTATAAAAAAATAATATACTTGTTTTTAATATATTAATTATATTTTTTTTAAAAATTATTTTCAAATCTTAAAATTAAGTGTAAGTAATTAATAATAGTAATTTTTTTAATTTAAACTGTATTTTTAAATTTTAATATAATAAATATGTTTTTATTGTAATATTTATATTAATAAAATATTCACTTATTATTTATATAGAAATAAATTTATTTTATTTTATATTATAAATGTTTTTAAAATATACTATACATATATGATATATAATTATTTCTATTGGTTTTAATAAATAAGAGATTTAATTATTTATAAATAATAATAAAGGTGATAAAAATTTAAGTGTTGTTTGATTATAAGTGAAATTTTATTTTATAAAATTGCGTGATAAAAATTAATATAAAAGATTAATACATTAATATTATTAGAATAAAATATTAATTTGAATTAAAAAATACTTATTTCATAAAATATAAATTAAATAATTATAACTGATGATCAGTGGTGATTGGCATTGGGCCACCCATTCCCCATTTCCCCGTGACGTTCGCCCACCGTACCGCCGTTCCAATTAGTTTACCTTAGCCAACTCTCTCTGATGGGCGTGCATTCCACCGCTAGCAACATTATCCATATTTGGGGAAGCGACGGTGCGAGCACGCGCATAAAGGAAATGGGGGGTTTGAGCGTTGAACGTTGAAAGAGAGAAAAGGAAAATGGTTTGTTGGTGGTTTTACCTTTAGCAGAGCGCAAAGGCAAATTGGTCTGAATTGTAACGAATGAATTCCAAAGAGAGAGAAAGGAACAGACAAAATTAGGTGCGCGGCATTGACAAAGAGAGAGAGAGAGAGAGAGAGAGAGAGAGAGAAATGTGTGATGTGCTTCTAAGTCAGCTTCTCACACTTTTCCTGTTTCTGCCTCTCAAACATTTCTTCTCTCCTCAGTTTCAATTAACTCCATTTTCTCCATTTCTACCTCCTTCCTCACTCCTTTTAACATGTACTCTATTTATTCATTTTTTTTATAAACTAAATAATTATTTTTTAAATTCAAACTCACATTCAAATGGTTAATTTTTAGACTGTCCTACATGTTCATCAATTTATACCAGCTATTCTAATTTCATACTAGTTTTCAACAAGATTGACAAAAATACTTATAATCTAAAAAAAATTTAATTAATAGTATTTTTAATTAAATTATCCATTATGTTCTGTTAATAATATATTTTATCAATTTTATTTTATTTTTCTTATAGTATCTTAACATAATATAGATATTTTATATTTATTTTATTGTAAAATAATTTTATTAATATCACCTTTAAAGATTTAATTTAGTCATATAAAAATATTTATCATATTAAAATTATAAAGTATAATAACTATTTTAACTTTATAAAAATATAAATATATTTTTTATTTATTAAATTTTTATACTATACAGTATTTCATAATTTTAAAAAATCATGATATATGTTTAATAAAATTTTATTATTATTAAGTGTTTAAGCCTAAGGATTAATTGATTAAAGTAAATGTGTTTTTTATAAAAAAAGTATAATAATTGTTTTACAAAAACTTACTCATTGTTTTTAAGATTAATGCTAAGACAACGATTTTGTTATTAAACATATTTTATATGTTTTATTAAATGCGACATGGACTTAAATTATTTTATAAGTTAAAAATGAGTTGAAGGAGATTTGTTCCTTCTAATATTTAGATTCCGAGGAAAGAGAGAGAACTTTCCTTTCGTGTCTTTTACCGTGCTATTATCTTTCCTACATCATGCTTCCTTGATTTGAAATTTCTGCTATCCTTGTCTTCCTCTAGATTCTATCTATCACTGTTTTGGTTTGAAAATCAGAGAGCAGCTGACAGCTATCCCCCTTTGACAAAATAAGTGGGAAAAAAAATCAAAATCTTGGAAGATGAACGATAAAAAAAAGATATAAATAAAAAAGGGGTTTGGTTTGGAAACTGAAGCGGACCCGTTTGATGAAAGTTTGTTGAGATTAGGTTCTCTGGCCACTGTTGTTGGCTACCCTTTTCTTTATTCTTCTTCTTCAGTTAACCTTTGAGCTTAAATTTCAAACCTTTTCTGGTTTCTGGCATCCCAAGTAAACAAAGACTTCATTTTTGTGTACTTTCTCTGGGGGTGGTGTGAGTCTTGAGGGGTGGTGTTGAGTGGAGTTCTAAGCAATTTCAGGATATGGGTTTTTGTTTGTTGGGTCAAAGATCTTACATTTCAGGTGGGGACTGAGGGATCTCACAGCCTCTACTTGTGTATTGATTATTGTTTCACTTTCTTTTTTTAATGGCCACTGTTGTTTGCTTCATTCACAAGCTGTTGTCTTATGGTCCCTTTTCTACTTTCTTTGGTGTTTGGGGATATGGGATATAAGTATCTTCATTTGGGAATCCTATATCTTGCTTCAAGGCTGGTGTTTCTGAACCTTCTTTCAGATTGAGTTAAGGGGTTTTTCTCCACTGTCTAGATCTCTTGTTCTTGGGATTTGGTTTTGGTGGGGATTGGTGATCTAAATCTTTTCCTTGAAATTGGTGTTTTACCTTCCAAGGTGCAAGCTGTTAGTCGCAGTTTGAGGGTTGAAAGTTTTGGAGCTGTGATTAGAAGTTACTTCACTCAAGTTTCTACTCAGTGATACTTGCTTCTGCTGTTTTCATGGGAGCTTAACCTTGATTCTGAGGTTAGCACATTAGTTTTTGTTTCAGCAATGATGCTGCTCAGATGTTTCTCAGTGATACTTTTGCAGTGGTGTGTCTTAGCTTGCTTACTTTGCTTGTCTCTGGGTCTTAGCAACCAAACCACATCCTGTGACCCTCATGATTTATCAGCCCTAAAGGAGTTTGCAGGAAAGCTTACAAGTGGCTCTATCATCACAGCATGGTCCAATGACAGTGTCTGTTGCAACTGGGTTGGAGTTGTTTGTGATAATGTGACTGGTGGTAATGGAGCAGGTGCTAGTACTAGTAGAGTGACCAGGTTGATTCTGCCTGAAATGGGTCTCAGTGGGACAATTTCACCCTCTTTAGCACAGCTAGATCAGCTCATTGTGCTGAATTTTTCATACAATCATCTTAAAGGTGAATTGCCTGTGGAGTTCTCCAAGTTAAAGCAGTTGAAGTTTCTTGATGTGAGCCATAATATGCTGTCAGGATCTGTTGCTGGAACTCTTTCTGGTTTGCAATCAATTGAAATATTGAACATTTCTAGTAATTCACTTTCTGGAGTTCTCTTCCAGTTTGGGGAATTTCCACGTCTCCTTGCTCTCAACATGAGTAACAATTCATTCACTGGCAGATTCAACTCTCAAATTTGCAGTTCTTCCAAGGGTCTTCTCACCCTTGATTTATCTGCAAATCAATTTGATGGTGATCTTGAAGGTTTGGACAACTGCACCACATCTCTCCGACAGTTGCATTTGGATTCCAATTCATTTTCTGGCCCTATTCCAGATTCCTTGTATTCAATGTCAACCTTGGAGGAACTCTCAGTCTCTGCCAACAATTTATCTGGCCAGTTAAGCAGGCAACTCAGTAAGCTCTCTAATCTAAAAGCTTTAGTGGTTTCTGGGAACAGGTTTTCAGGGGAAATCCCAAATGTGTTTGGGAACCTTTTGCAGCTAGAAGAATTTGTAGCACATGCCAATTTATTTTCTGGATCGTTGCCTTCCACCTTGGCTTTATGCACTAAACTTAGGGTGCTTGATCTTCGAAATAACTCCTTGTCAGGTCTTATTGATCTTAATTTCACTGGCTTGTCTAATCTTCAAACACTTGACCTTGCTACTAATCATTTCATTGGACCCCTTCCAAATTCCCTGTTCAAGTGCAGTGAATTGAAAGTTTTAAGCCTTGCTAGGAATGGTTTAACTGGCCCTATACCTGAAAATTATGCCAACCTCACGTCACTTTTATTTGTATCCTTGTCAAACAACAGCATTGTGAACTTGTCAAGGGCGGTGTCTGTTCTGCAGCAGTGCAAAAACCTCACCACTCTTATCCTCACCAAAAATTTTCATGGTGAGGAAATTCAAGAAAGTGTGTCAGCAAGATTTGAGAATCTAATGATTTTAGCACTTGGATATTGTGGTCTTAAAGGCCATATTCCTTCTTGGCTATCAAATTGCAGAAAATTGGCCGTCCTTGATTTGTCTTGGAACCATTTGAATGGTAGTATTCCTTCTTGGATTGGTCAGATGGACAATTTGTTCTATTTGGATTTCTCAAATAATTCTCTCTCTGGAGAAATACCAAAAAGTTTGACAGAGTTGAAGGGCCTCATGTGTTCAAATTGTAGTAGATCTAATCTTTCTGCTTTTGCATTCATTCCTCTCTTTGTTAAGAGAAACACAAGTGCGAGTGGGCTGCAATATAACCAGGCCTCAAGCTTCCCTCCTTCAATTCTTCTGAGCAATAACATATTAACTGGAAATATTTGGCCTGATATTGGTCAACTGAAAGCACTGCATGTCGTAGATTTAAGCAGGAACAACATCACTGGTCCCATTCCCAGCACTATTTCAGAGATGAAGAACTTGGAATCATTAGATTTATCTTACAATGATCTCTCTGGAGAAATCCCTCCATCATTTAACAACCTCACATTCTTATCAAAGTTCAGTGTGGCATATAATCGCTTACAAGGACCAATTCCAACCGGGGGACAGTTTTTAAGCTTCCCTAGTTCAAGCTTTGAGGGAAACCTGGGGCTTTGTAGGGAAATTGATTCTCCCTGCAAAGTTGTCAACAATGTGACGCCCAACATTTCTTCTGGTTCATCCAGAAAACTTGGTAAAAGCAATGTCCTTGGCATAACAATCAGTATAGGGATAGGGCTTGCACTGCTGCTTGCAATTATTCTGCTAAGAATGTCAAAGAGGGATGGGGATAAGCCTGTTGATAACTATGATGAGGAACTCAATAGCAGGCCACACAGGTTTTCTGAAGCACTTGTTTCTTCAAAGTTGGTGCTTTTTCAGAACTCTGATTGTAAGGACCTCACAGTTGCAGATTTGGTAAAATCCACAAACAATTTCAACCAGGCAAATATTATTGGTTGTGGTGGGTTTGGTCTTGTCTACAAGGCATACCTTCCAAATGGTACAAAAGCAGCTGTCAAGAGACTTTCAGGGGACTGTGGTCAGATGGAACGTGAATTCCAAGCTGAACTAGAGGCCCTCTCAAGAGCTCAACACAAGAACCTTGTTTCTCTTAAAGGTTATTGCCGGCATGGTAGTGACAGATTGCTAATCTACTCATACTTAGAGAATGGAAGCTTGGATTATTGGCTACATGAGTGTGTGGATGAAAATTCAGCTCTAAAATGGGATGCAAGGCTCAATATTGCACAAGGCGCTGCTCGTGGATTAGCTTACTTGCATAAGGGGTGTGATCCATACATAGTGCATCGAGATATTAAATCTAGCAACATACTTTTGGATGATAAGTTTGAAGCTCATTTGGCTGATTTTGGTCTCTCAAGGCTACTTCAACCTTATGATACTCATGTTACAACAGATTTAGTAGGAACTTTAGGATATATTCCTCCAGAATATAGTCAGACACTGACAGCAACCTTCAGGGGTGATGTTTATAGTTTCGGTGTTGTTCTTCTTGAGCTGCTTACTGGTCGAAGGCCTGTAGAAGTCATCAAGGGGAAAAATTGCAGAAATCTGGTATCTTGGGTGTTTCAAATGAAATTTGAGCATAAGGAGCAGGAAGTTTTTGATCCAGCCATTTGGCAGAAGGATCATGAGAAACAGCTGTTGGAGGTGCTTGCCATTGCATGTAAATGTCTAGACCAAGATCCCAGGCAGAGACCCTCTATGGAAGTAGTTGTTTCATGGCTTGATAGTGTAAGATTTGATGGCTCTCAACAGTGATCTTTTGCATTTGTGTCCTTATATTTGGGCTTTGGTTGGTGTATCATTGACAACACAGTTGTAAAGCAAGTTTGTTGTATGAAGGTGGAATGTTATTTGATTCGGCTACTGCCTTTTTTTTAGTCCGTTAGTTCATTAATATAGATAGGTGTAATATGTATAAAATGATAATTTTGGCAATTAGATTATCTTGCACTAAACAACATATATATATGTATCTCTTTTGCTGTTTATAACTTATGGCCCATTGCAAGTGATTTTAATGTTATGTCGTAGTCCCACTGTGCCATGCATGTGCATGTGATGCATGGTAGGTATGACAAAAATGACTTGTTAACCTTCCAAATCTAGGTGTCTTTATGTATCAGGTTGACTTGTTAACCTGGTCTAAATCAATCTCAATTTTGGATTTTTTTGTCGATTCCAGATTGTTGGTAAGATTCACTTCGTGTGGCTACAATTCGTAGATTGTGTTTGTACCCAAAAGGTATGCATATACCATTTCTTTCTCTTAGCAAGAGTTCATACCAATTAGTGTAACTTTTATTTTCTATAGTTTCTAAACTTATGAATCATGTTACAAAAAAGTAGTCCTGCACTTCATTTGGTTGTTTCCTTATTCCAACAGAGCAAAAATAACTGCATAATAGCCTAGCAAATTGTCTCACAAGCCACACTACCAGTAGTAGCAAATGCACATTTGTGGCTTTAACAAGAGAAGGGCTCTTGCCCGGAAAAAAATAATTAATATTATAACCTTTGCAGTAGAAGTTCATTTCATTATCCCATTTAGTTATTCATGCCCTTTTATGATTCAAAAGTTCTATGTAGTATTCATGTTATGATGCTATCCTTATTTCAGCTATATGACTTGCATGTCTTTACAAAATCCGCTGCGTGACAATGTTGACATGAAAATCTTTTCTGCTTATATCAAGTTATTTCCTTGCTCTTATTCCAATTTTAGACCATCCAAAAGTGAAGTCTATTCATGGACAAGATTATGGAATAAGATTTATATGATATGTTGTTTTCCATCTTATGTTATATTTCTTGTGGGAAATGAGAATGGAAAACGATTTGCAAGACTTCAAGTCAAGGAGTTTTTTCAGGGGAGAAAAGCGTTGACTACTACTCTCTTCAAAGGAAATTGATCATGGGATAATCTCTTCGGTCACAAAAGGAAGAACATTTCTTAATGGTTTAAAGGTAAATGGACAAAACAAATCTCAAAACGTTGGGCATCATGGCCAATACAAAGATGAGTGGAATATGCACTTTGGAACGTATCAATTGGCTAAAGAAACAAACCCCATCATAGCATTGATGTGAAATACCACTGCCATGTATCATACATGGGACTGTCTTTTCCATGTTGAAACTTCTCCTATTGCATTACTTTAATTGGAAGAGCTGGCTGCGGAACACAAACACCTAAAGTGGCTTTCTAAAGGGATAGGAAGGAATTTCTATGGTTGAAAAGAAGGGTGCTTGAAATGCTATATTTTAAAAAAAATGTTTTAATTTAATATCCCATGAAACCAACCACAAAGTTGCAATAACAAATTTAAATATATATGCATAAGCTTTTTGGGCAGTTGAGGCCTTTCACCACATCTTAGTGTGAACTCACCTAATGCGCTAGCCAGTACAAATTGAGTGGTTAGAACTTACAACATATCCAAGCAATTTCTCTTCCATGTATTGTGACCAATAATGCCTTATATTTTAACATGTACTTCAGATGTAAAAAAATATAGAAATGATATTGGTCAGTCATAATCTATTAAAGTAGAAGCAATACGTTGGCATTTGAAATAAAAAATTTCAGCTACAAAATGATGCTATGTAAATAGGAAATGTTCTGCTTTAATTTGATTCTAATTGAAATCAGAAGCATGGGAGAAAATAGTGGATAAAGAACTACAAAAGTTCCTGGGACCTAATAATAATTACTCAGTATGGGAATAGCCAATAGGACTCCCTATATCTCCTTTTTCCTGTTTAAAATTATACCAGAACTGGGAGCTAATTCTTGATAATCTTATAATACATAACTACATACTTTTTCGATAGGTGGTACTCTTAATTTGACAGTTTTCTTTTTCTTTTTTACTTTTATATAGAAAGTTTAAAATAAGAAAAATTAACAATACATGTCAGATGTTATGATTTTAGAAAGGGTTACAAACACTGGAACAATCCAAAACTGATCCAAACAAATGGCACATACTTGCTAGTCCGAGTCGGTACATGTAAGGCTCTTTTTGGTTAAAACACAGTCAAACAATAACACTCCCTCCTTAATATTTGAAAATTTAATTATAAAGTATATTTTTTAGAAATAAAATTCGAATAGGAATTTATAACAAATTCTAGAATTTAATATTTTAAAATAAAAAACTAAAAAATGGAAATACAAAAAAATTCTCATAGAAGAGCCTCCGTAGTAAACTCAGTGGACTAAATGGGTGTTATTTCTTGCCCTCGTCTAACATCAAGGAAAGCTCAAGTACCCAAACCAACCCATTTTTAGGCCCAACAAAAATTTTCATAAATGTCACTCGTAGTGACATAAAATAATTACAACAGCATACATAAAATAACACACACAGACACTTTATCCATAATATCAATAATTTTAATTTACATTTTTTTTCCATACACTCTTAATCGAGCGTTATGGTTAGAAATGATGTGAAATAAATATTTTTTGATCATTTGTAAATTTTTAAAAAATAATTGAGTATATATTTAAAATGACGCCACTTTAGTTTCACTTTCTATTTGAAAAATATCATTTCACATTTTAAATGACAAGTGAAGAATAAAACTATTTTGATGTATTCGCTCAGTCATCTTACGTCAAATATCCAGAATGACATTTGATTATATCACATCATTTTTAAAGCGATATATTAACATTTTTATTTTTTAAATTAATCACGAACTTATGGCCAAAAAGAACATGGGCCATTTGATGAAAAATGTTAGAAAATAAATTATCAAATACTTATTAATACTATTACAGCAGATACAGGCCTTTTTTTAAGTTGAGTTTTTTATTTTATTATTTTTAACACACTTTTAACTATTAATTAAAATTTATTGAAATTATAAATAAATAAAAAAGTATGTTAGAGAAATGGGGAACAACACATGTCCGAAACGTGTCCATTAAAACCCTTTCAACATTGTCTTGCAGTGAGTAAGCAAATGGGCATCATCAAGGTTCTTTCCTACCATGTTCTTGATCAACAAAATATTCTTTGGGGTCTATAAATCAATTCCTCTTCTCGCCTTTCCATGGTTTACTTATCCACTGCTTATGAACATGCACAAGTATCCCCTCTCCTCTTTGTGTATTGTAACATCTTAATCATATTTAAATATATTTTTATGAACTTTTAATTTTATATTGTCTTTAATTTTTGTATTTATGACGTAATTTTATAAAATATTGACATGCAACATAAAAAATTGATATCTTATCGCTTTTTAATCAGTCACGTTAAAACTTAAAAAACACAAGAAGCTTAAACTTTTGAGAAAATATAAAAATTAAATTTATTTTTTTAACATGTATATATCGATATATATTAATATTGATGAATTGAACACATTTTTTAATATTGTAGGGTAGTAATGCGGTGGCAGAAGGAAATAGTGGTGAAGGGATGGTGAAGAGGGAGGATCTGTACGAAGTGAAACAAGAAGACTTAGCCATGACTAAGGATGCAGTGGAGGAGGCTGACATGGTGAGAGACACTGCCAAGGACTCTCCATGGATGGAGCTTGGTGATAGCAGCTGAAGAATCTTCACACAAGGTTAGAGATGGTCACATGAAGGATTAATTGAAGACAAGAACATTCTGGGCACAATCATGTAAAAGCACTAGTGATTTAATTTCCATGATGAAAATGATAGTCCTAATGAAGATTCATGATCAGTATTATAGCCGCTAATTACTTTTTTTTTTGTGTTAATCAAGGAGTTTAATTGAACTTTATGTAGAAAGGTGCAAAGTAGTTATAATGATTTATTATTTGCATTGTAAAATTGTATAGGAAGTAGTTGGGTAGGTTTGTATAACGTCTTGAATAGAATCTTAATTAGTGAATGAAGGGGACGATACATATGAATTTTCACCATTAAAAAAAAATATGATTATCCAAACAAGAAGAAAACTTAAAGTGATAGATTCATATGTAAATTTTTCTATTGTAGTACTCGCTTGTAGTTTCCCCTCAAGTAAGACAAAATTTTACATAAAAAATGAAAATATTAAAAATTTCTTTTAAAAATATGTTAATTGGCTTAAGAAAACAATGTAAAGTCAGGATATGAGTACTTAACAATAAAAAAGAAAACAAAACATATATTGTGTAATTTAACTCAAGAACGTCACATAATTATAGCCATTTTTATCGATGGATGTTATCTTAATTAGTTTTTTCATCGTTACATTAAAGAAACCCTGACCAAGTAAATAAAAATGAAACCAGTAATATGAATCGAGAATCAATTTTTATCCTCACCTTTTGGTTTTGGGGGTCAAACTGGCCCAATCTTATGGGATGTTAGACCAAATGATTTGGGCTTGTAGACTCGTGAAGCTATCCAATAGAAATTTGAAACTACGAGCCATCACCATAACAAAAACAAGCCATGTAAAAAAGAAACTAATTCTTTGAGTCAATGCATTATCGTGAGAAGAAGGCCCTTCTAATAACTACTTTATCTAAGTTTTGAATTCTAATTCCCTCGTTGAAAACCAAAAATATGTTTTGATCTACGTCATAAGGTACTCTTATTGATGAAGTTTGCCAAATTTGATTCAATCAGTAATTTATGTATAATTTCATAATTCTATTTAACGAATTAAATGACTAGATTAATTAAACCAAATTGATAAATAAGAAATCATAAGTTGAAAGTGAAATTTTCAATTTTTTAACATGTTCAAACATTCCTATATATCATTCTCGCAATCTTAATCGTACACAAGAACTCAATGTTTAATTATGTATTTTTTAAAAATAAAATTATTAGTAGTGTTGAGGTTAAGTAGTTAGTAGCAATATCATTTTATTAGAATATATTTATTACATTTTTGTATTTTTAATATAATACATATCAAAAATTAAATTTGTAGTATTCTTAGATGTTTAAAATCTAACAAAATTATTTTTAAAATCACATCATTATTTACCATATTTTCAAATTTAGCTTGATCGAATATATATATTATCAATATATATTGCTTTGCATGTGATTGTGATTTCAGGTGTTGTAACAAAGTAAGATGCTTAAATTAAGAATCACACTGACGAAATGAAGTATATGAAAAGGTATGTACGTTAATGATTTAACCTTTTATTTACAAAAAGGGTGTCACTGTTTAAGGAATAGTTCATATAAGAATTATTATTGGCGATTACTATCATCACGGAAGATATTATTCCTTTATTCCACTTATTTAAATATATGGTTAAATTTCACAACTCGTTAAAGCCAGCTTATTCCAATTAGTTCCACACACTCAAATAATCATTAGAAAGAAAATGCTGTTTCAAAATTATTTTTTAAAATGAGAGCAAATAAAGACTCCTAATCTAATTTTAAAATGCACATATATTGATCCTAAGTCTTAAACCTATTAAATATGTACTTAATTTTATGTATGCTAACTCTTGCAATCAACTCAATGGAAATATTTTACTAAACTATAATTCTTAATTTAAGTTAGCTCACTTCTTAATGGTAGTTTAGAGATAAACTTACTTTTAAGAAAATGATCGAGGTAAATACAATTCATTGTGAGTAAGAAAATTTTTTGTACAACGACTATGCGTAACAAAGAAGTCAATAGCATGTGCCAGTCACATACAACAATCATCGTACAATAATTCCACAATGTGTTGCCATGCAAAGAAGAGAAAGCTCCTTGTAGTTATAAAAGCAACAGATTCATCGTATAAATCCCTTAGTTTTGGAAAATATGTCGGCCATAAAAGAAGCATTATCGTATTATTCTTGTCTCCACCCTTCTAATTCATTTTCACCGATGCAGGTCTTTACAAGTGTCATGCAAATAATTTGCCATGGTGAAGAACGTGTTGAGTTGCCAAATCTCCAATTTTCATGAGTCATGTTCAGCACATGCCTTAGTTCCACCACGTGTCACACTCACCGATTCACCCCTTTCCGCACTTAATTAAATTCTTCCTCCTTTGTTTCCGTTGTTTCTTATATATATAACCCTCCCAAGTTTGTGACCGTTTCACATTGACAGCACTATAAAGAGAATTTTGGTACATAGAGACGGAAAAATGGCTAAGAGATTTTCCTCTATTGTGTCATACAAAGATTTGATCAAACACCTCCAAACAACAACTTCTAAAGCTGCTATAGTTAGTAGCTATAGATTAATGTGCTTCTCAAATGCAAAAGCTCATGTGCATACTCAAGTATACAACTTCCTTTCACTGTTATTAATTGTACATGAAGACATCTTTTTTTTTAACAATGTCTTATTTATACAATAAAATATTATATAACACTTTATATCATAACTTTTTTGCTTTTTATTTTATCACCTATTTTATTTTGTATTTTTATTTGTATGAAATGTTGTAGAGTTTTCTTAGACAAAAGTTAATAAGTAGTACTGATTAAAACTAGAAGTCATTGCAGTTGTTGAATAACAGTTGTTTAATTTTAATTTCTTAACTAACACATGAAGACTACTGACTAACAAAATTTTTGTATTATATTTAACTTTTTTTTAATTTTTACGTTGAAAGTTATTATTATTTTTGGGTTGTTTCTAATTAATTTTATGTGGCATTTTTAGGGTGGTGATTCATTTGTAGGAGTAGCAGCAACAGAAGGTGCAGTGAAAGCAACAGAGGTGCTGGGAAGTGTGGGAGAAAAGGCTAAGGAGACAGTGGACACTGCTAAGGATGCAGCAAAGAAGACTGTAGAATTGGTCACTGAGACAACCATGGCAGAGGCTGATACCAACGTTGTGGACACAGTTGAGTACAGATGTTCCGAAGATATGAGGGGGCAACTTGGAGATGGTTACGATAGTTATAATTAAAATGCATGGAATGGATTTTATGGGATTATAGGAATTAATTAGGGGGTGATCCTATGCTTTTTCCGGTTTTGACTTTAATCTTTAATGAGTGATGAATGACCGAAGAAGAGAAAGTTATTACTGTGCTCCACTTTGGTGTATAATCCTTTTGGAGATATGAAGCCATTAATTATATGAATAGCATTTGAATCATCCTCTGAAATATATCAAAAGCAAACTCATCACTGAAAACATGGGTTCACTCGTCAAATAAAGCCCCTTCTCCACTTGCTCTTCTTTTTTTACACACTTGGATTTATATAAGACGATTCTTCAGAATCCAAACATGATTATTCCCCTCATGCATGGAACTACTCAAAATCGCAATGTTGCCAGCTTCAACCCCATTAAACGCATACCTAAAGAGATATTTATAGGAGAAAAAAAAAATTATAAGTTAGAACTAATCTTTATATATTACATTTTTAAGATGTCTTTTTTTTATTTAAGAGAGCATTTAATTAATTTTACTTCTTACAAAATTTGTCCGGCCTAAGTCGAAAACCATTAACTTGGGGAAGAATGAGTTTTTTTTTATACGTTAATAAGTAATTTAAATGTATTTATGTAGATTTTAATAATATTTAAAAAATTTAAATTATTATTAATTAACAATTAATTTTACTAAACTTTATAAATGGGCACTTTGCTCAAGTTGATGACACCTTGCCGTCGAGCACGTGTGTTTTCTTCGTGCGTGCGATAAAAAATTGGGCAGCACAACATTTTTTTTTCAAAGAGTTCTGAAAGGAGGAGGACTAAAAATTGATGACATATTAAAATATGAGTTTTATTGTGATTTGTGAATTCGAATAAACAGTTCGGATGTGTTGAACAAGAGACCTTCTCCTGTTTTGAGCTAAAGGGAGAGGATCCGAATTCTTTATAAAAGTAACTATAAATTTTCATAAAAACTGTAAAAACGTTATTTTGTATTTATTTGATTTTTAAATATTTATTTAAAAACTTTAAAATAACAATTTTTTAATATAATCGTACAAATAAAAACAAGAAACTATTTATATAATTGTTGATTAAATAAAAAAATTCTAAAGTTTATTATCAATATCATAACGTACGCTTCTTTATCATTGAAAGTGATAAATAAATACTAAATAATATTTACCAGTTAATAATTGCATTATTAAATTTCCTTTATGAAAGTATTAGTCAAGAAGAATATATAAGGAATTAGTCTTCATCCTCTTTGCATAAAAAAAAAATCATGATTATATGCTGTTTCCATGATAAAAGAAAGCTATAATGTAGTCTGGTTAACTTATTCTTTGATTAGTCAATTGTCGTAAAATTGATCAACATTATTTGATCAGGGAATAATACTTCAAATTGGTCAATATCGTTTTGACAAGTGAAAATAGAATAAAAACAATTTCTCAAGTATATAATTAACAAATTGACCAAGTTACTTTCATCAATTTCGTCAATAATTTTTGCTAAACGAACATGAAATTCATGAATATAACTAGCTCAAGCTCTTTGAACTTGAATACAACAAAAACTAGGCACGTATAATCTTAAGAGATAGTTTGGTTTGGTATTAAAATTAATGTATATGAATTTACATTTGTTTTAATATTATATAAAAATTACGTTTATATAAATTTTAACATGTTTTTAAACATACACAGAAAATACAATAGAATCAGGTAAATTTGATAGTTTCTTTCCCATAAATCTTTGTATAAAAAGGTATATATATATATATATATATATAAAAGCAACAAACCATTGATTAAAGAAAAGTGAGTAGACAGAGAGCCGATGACTGGTTTTTGTATCAATGAAGAAGACACAAAGGTAAACTTCGATACTTTATCATAATATCTAAGCATGCCACAAAAGTGTGCCGTGAAAACAAAATTTTGATTTTATGCCTTAATTCATAGGCTACCAAAGTCTTGGGACCAACAACAAATTCCAAGCTACTTGAATCAGATGATGACTTGTAATGCCTCTTATCTCATGCAAGCTGTCTCCATAGTATCCCTTCTTTACAAAAACATGCAAGAATTTCACTCTCTAAGTGTTCCTTCTTGCTTTTGTCCTTTCCTACAGAATTCTTCACAACTGTCTTTCACATTACTAAAGAGGAAAAAGAAAAAGGACCATTTGACATGGTATCTCAAATGCACGCTTCTTTGTCCACCTTGGGTGACGATGTCATAACTACGGGCCAATGGGCTAGTTAGGCTTTAATATTGACTTGGTGCATGACATGCATGTTGAGCTCAAATGCGGAATAACTTGGACGTGTAAATTAAAATTCTGACGTAAACTGGCGAGCAATAATTCAGACCTAATAAATAGATCTAGCAGCGCAGCGGTGTAACTTGTAAAGTGTGCACTGAAATACTTCCCAGGAAAGAGAGGTGAATCACAACGGATCACTTAAATACCAGGTCTTTCCTTAACCAGAATCTTTCCAGTTACAACACTAATACAAATACACACTTCTCCAGCAATTCAACAATCAGCCACGGAAGGATAACAAAAATAATTCTTTTCTGATGTGGAAGATCAGACTAAACTGCAACCACAGAGCATACTAAGAATTATTTTTAACTGAATAAAATAAGCAGATAAAGAACACCACTATTTAACGTGGAAAAACCTCCAATGTGGAGGAAAAACCACGGGACAAACTCCGAAAAATTTTCCACTATATCTCAGGATATTTACAATATCCTTTCAACACTCTATCACACAAGAGGTGTAAAATATAGTGTACACAGTGAGACCCACTCCTATTCAAATATTACAAATTTTGTAATACCAAGAAGAAATAGAGATGATACCCACCCCAGTGTATTTTTCTCACACTCTTAGGATTTACTCAACACTCTATTTTTTTTTTCTCTCACAAACACTCACAATGCTTGATGAAATCTTGTGTGTGTTGCTGCTTGTGCTTCCTTCAATTTCATTTCACGGCTATTTATAGCCAAATAAAGTTACTATTCATTTAATAAAATATTATTAATTGTTTATGAAGTCAAAAAAGGGGGCACCGAAATTGAAAATGTGCTGGATCTCACAATTCTCCCCCTCCAGCACAAAGGTGCACTCTTGGAATCTTCACATGCGATCTATGCCAATCAGCTTGGCACACTGTTGATGTTTTTCTCGTGCAACAACTTTCGTCATCATATCAGCAGGATTTTTATCCGTATGAATCTTATCTAGCTTGAATTCTTGTTCTTCCACTGCCTGACGCAGCCAATGATATCTGATATCAATGTGCTTCGTACGAGAGTGATACATCGCATTCTTACTTAAATCCAATGCGCTTTGGCTATCACAATGGATAACGTACCTTTTCTGCTCAATTCCCAGTTGTTGAAGAAACCTCTTCAACCAAAGCATTTCCTTTCCTGCTTCAGTCATGGCAACATACTCAGCTTCAGTAGTTGACAAGGCCACACATTTCTGCAATTTGGATTGCCAAGATATAGCTCCCCCTGCAAAGGTAAACACAAGTCCTGAAGTAGATTTTCTACTATCCAGGTCACCTGCCATATCTGCATCTGTGTATCCTTCAAGAACTGGGTTAGGTATTCCAAAGCTCAAGCACATATTAGAACTACCTTTCAGATATCTCAAGATCCACTTCATTGCTTCCCAATGCTCTTTTCCAGGATTGGAAAGATACCTGCTAACAACTCCGACCGCATGAGCTATATCCGGCCTCGTACAAACCATGGCATACATCAAACTCCCGACTGCTGAGGAGTATGGAATACCCGCCATAGCTTCTTTTTCTTCTTGACTTGTGGGACAACTTCTTTTGCTGAGTTTGAAGTGATTTGCCAACGGTGTACTAACTGGTTTAGCCGTCTTCATGTTGAATCTGTCCAGAATCCGATTCACATACCGTTCCTGCGATAACCACAACCTTCTGGATTTTCGGTCTCGCATGATCTGCATGCCCAAAATTTGTTTTGCAGGGCCCAGATCTTTCATATCAAAAAACTTTGACAATTCTTTCTTCAAATCACCAATCAGCTTCACATCCTGTCCCACTATCAACATATCATCTACATACAACAGAAGGATAATGAATTTATCACCTGGACATGTCTTGACAAATACACAATGATCTGCATCAGTCTTGGCATATCCATGACTCGTCATGAACGAGTCAAATTTCTTATACCACTGTCTTGGAGCCTGTTTCAATCCATACAAGCTCTTCTTCAATCTGCAAACCATGTGTTTCTTTCCAGTTTCCTCAAAACCTTCTGGTTGCTCCATGTAGATTTCTTCATCAAGGTCTCCATGAAGAAACGCAGTCTTCACATCTAGTTGTTCAAGCTCCAGATCCAAGCTAGCCACCAATCCGAGTATAACTCGAATAGAGCTCATCTTCACAACTGGAGAGAAAATTTCATCAAAATCTATTCCTCGCTTTTGTCCAAAACCTTTTACAACTAAGCGAGCCTTGTACTTCAACAGCTTGTCACCATCTTTCTTAAGCTTGAACACCCACTTATTTTTCAAGGCTTTTCTGCCTTTAGGGAGCTTGACTAACTCATAAGTATCATTCTTCACCAGAGAATCCATTTCTTCTTGCATGGCTTTCATCCACTGGGATTTATCCTTATGAGTCTGAACTTCTTCAAAGTTTTCTGGCTCCCCCTCTTCAGTGATGGTAATATACGTCGAACTAGGGTACTTTGTAGATGGCTGGTGTGGTCTTCTTGATTTCCGAGGCTGAGGTGGAGCTTCTGGGTTTTCTTGCTCAACACCTTCATCATCACCATCTTCTATTGCTGGCTCATTATCAACCCTAAGTTCTTCATCACACTCTCCCCCTACTGTGGCATTTTTAGGAGGAACAACTGGTGTAAGATCAACCTTACCACCTGGTTCTCTGATTTTTGGTGAAGCAGAATCCGACATAGTTTCTTGCTCATGGAACACTACATCTCTGCTTCTAATAA